GTAGAACAACGTCTGCCATGTTGGCAGGTGTTTAATAAACATCTGTTGAAAGCACTGATGAATAAATAAATGCAGAGATAGTTGAATAGGAAGTGCAGATTCTCTTAATTTGGAAGGTACAGCTGGGTGTGGTGATGCATGCGTGTAATGCCATCACTTGGCATGCTGAACAGGAGGATCGCTGCGAGTTTGAGGCCAGCCTGGGCAACACAGTGAGACCCTATTTCAAAAAACAAACAAACAAAAAATAGATAATAGAAAGTTACAGAAGAAGAGGTTTGAAAGTGGCCTCCTAGAGAGCTACAGCAAGGTGACGGGGTTCAAACCAATGATAGTGACTATGTTGAAGTAGTAAACAATACCATGAAAATGTTCCAAACAGAAATCTCAAAATAAAGAATTCCATATAAATTCAGAAAAGGCAGAAACAACCAGTGAGAATAGGATTTCAGAAGTTGCAGATAAAAGGAGTGTGTGTTGAATCACTCAGAGAAGCCTTAAAGATGATAGGAGAGCAAGAAACATTTACCCAACACCTAGTAGATGTAAGAAGCCCAAGGGCCAGCCAAATAGCTCAGCGGATTAAAGTGTGGGCAAGCAGGTGCAGAGGCTGGGGGTTTGATCCCGGGCCTGCCATACTGCCCCTCCCACCCCCGGGGTGTATTGAGACCTCAGTTGACACTGGGCGTGGTGGCATACACTTGTAATCCCAGCTCTTAGGAGGCTGTAAACAGGTGGATCACTATGAGTCCGATCTGGTAGTGAGACCCTGAACACCCTGTAGACCCCTCCCTAAAATAAAAAAAAAAAAAAAGAAAAAAAAAACTAAGAAAACTAACCTAAGTCTAGTTAGAAATTAGAAAATCTCACACATGCAATAAAAAAAAAAATTCCATTTACAAAAATAACGGAAAACTTGCCAAGTATGAGGAGAGAAGTCACCTACAGGTAAGTGTGACTACAGGATGCTAAATAACTCATTAGAAAAGAAGCCTCTCACAGCACATCCTCATTAAAATGCCTCATGTCCAAAGAAAAGTCAGAATCTTAAAAGCCAGCAGAGGGCGTGGTGGCGCACACCTGTAACCCTAGCACTAGGAAGGCCAAAGCAGGAGAATCATTTGGTATTCAAGGCTACAAAATGAGTTCAAGGCCAGCCTGAGCTGCATTGTGAAACCCTCTTTCAAAAAGAACAAAGAAAAAGCTTTCAGAAAAAAAAGCAAAAAAACATTAGCATTACAACAGACCTCTCCCCACAAAGTTTAAAGCCCTGGAGAGCTTGGAGTGAAGTGTTTCATAAATCCTAAAAGAAAACAACTTCCAACTCAGACTATCTTTCAAAATTGGTGGAAAAGGAATATAGCTCAGTGGCACAGCACCTGCTGGGAAAGCACAAGGTTATAAGTTTGATTCCTGGTACAAAAAAAAAAAAAAAAAAAAAAAAGCAACAGTAACAACAAAAAACTCAAACAAAATTGATAGAGAAATAAGGATATTCTGCTGGCCAGATAGCTCAGCCTCTTAGGCAGAGCACAGCGGCTAGGGTTCGATCCCTGACATTCTGTGTCAGCCCCGCCTCCCAAGGGTGTGCTGAGACAGCAATTGAGACTGGGTGTGGTGGTACCTGCCCATAATCCCAACCCTTGGGAGGCTGAAAACA